GTTTAGGAGTTAAATATTGTATGTTCCGGCACTTCGCAATACATTATATATGTTTTTTCTTACCGATACGGACCTTACATTACAGTAACGTGAGATGACAAAAAAAACAAATCAAAATTTACAGAACCCAAAAAAACAAATTTGACATAATAAACTTATATAAAATAAAATATATTAATATCAAGAATTTCTCAGTTGTAATTGTCATCATCAGCATCGTCCACATTGTGTGCATTCTGAGGCTCGCCACATAAATAATTTTCTGCTTCGTGTCGCAATCGCTGGCGTCGTCCTCTTTGCTCTTTATTACCTCTTTTCACTATATTTCGGTGTCTTTGTTTTCCAATACGTATCGCTTCCGCTACCTCTCGGAAAAAATCATCCCTCAATGGATTTGCAAAGTGCGAATTCAAACATACAGCATCTATTAATTAAACAAATAACATATTGATTCACTTTATAGCTTTTTGAATAAAATCAATTATACATATTTCAAACATATTTCATAAATCGAAGTAACTTACCATACACTGCTTTCATTAATTTTGTATCGAATAATGGGATATTTTTCTGCTCCCCCCAAACCGAATAATTATTAATGGTTTCATCAGTCACCGCTTCTTTCATGCAATATTTTATTGCTTCATGTAAAGTGTAGCCGCCTATAAAATGTAGATACTGAACCTGTAATAAAACAATTATATTTTTAATTCAAATTATAATTTCATATTCATTCAATAACTACTCATATAATTCATAGAATTACTTATCAAAGTTTTTGAAAAACTTACAACATTTTCGTACTCTTCCTGTGAAATATTATCAAAATCTTTTACTTGTTGAATTGATTGCAGCGGAAACAAAGGTGGCTTTGAAGGCATGATGTTTATCCGTTGTTTTAATAATTTGTCCAACTTTCTTGTTATATTTCTACAAATATATAATGTCATTATTTTACATGATTTCGTTCGATAAAAACACAGAATCTCTTTCTCTTTCTACACTTACAGATACTATTATAGCGCAGATATACCATAAATAAATAAATGTGTATATATGTATATGTATGTGTATGTGTACCGCGTTCACAAAGAAAACAACCAGCATTTTCGTCTGGTTCGGTCAGATCCCACTCAAGAAGACTAGAGACCAGGAGACTCAACTCCTGCTTAAATCAGTGGTGGGGGTAGGCTAAAATATGGTCGTATTTTATGGGCACTGTTCGCAGTATGGTCGAACGGCCAATTCATAAACTACGTGTGCTGTACTTCGAAACGTCGTGGAACATACTTTTATTCGGACCCAAATTAGAATATTTACTCCCACAATTCATAATACAACACACCTTAGACATGATTTCACAACTTTGACACAACGATTCACAACAAACAACGTAAACGAACTTTGACACACGCGTTATTCATGAATTGGCCATTCGACCATAGTGCGAACAGCGCCCATGAAATGCTACCATATTTTGACTTATCCCCACCACTGGAGTTAAGGCCCGGGCTCACAGTGACTAGTTAGCTTAACTAGTTGTTAAGTAGTGATGCCAACCACTGATACAAAATTCAGTAAGCTATTTACAAGATTATGTATATGTTGTATATATGTATACATCAATATATCAATCACAAATATATCAATATATATATGTATATATTTTTAAGCTTATTTGCGAAAATGCGACTTGTCAAAATAACTATGTAAATAGCTTACCGAATTTTGTATCAGTGGTTGGCATCACTAGGTACTTAACAACTAGTTAAGTTAACTAGCCACTGTGAGCCCGGGCCTAAGGCCCGGTTGCACCAACGTCACGTAATTTTAACTGTAGCTTAATTCACTCTTTGTCGCTTTCCAACTGTTTCCCTTAGAAAGAGACAAAGAGTGAAATAAGCTAAAGTTAAATCTAAGCGACGTTGGTGCAACCAGGCCTAAGTCTCCTGGGTTTCTAGTCTTCTTAATTGATCCCACCCATATGGCTCCTGCCCACTGGACGCGGTAACGTTG